AATTAATGTTTTACACAACACTTCTTACGTATGTTGTATTATATATAATAATAAATTTCAGATATTAAAGTTTTTAAATTGATTGTGCAATTTTACTTATGTAGAAGGAGTAAAAAGTGTTACCTTTTAAGTATAAAAAGACAACCAGTATAAAAAGTAATACTTTTTACATCAATTAACCACACAATTGATATAAAAAAGTATTTCAAACGTCAAAATCATTCTTCCTCATCAATCAGAAATATCAACACTTTGTTGGATTTCATTAAAATCACTTCTACCAAGCAAATCATATATGCTCAAATTCTCTCAACGCATATAACAACAACATTCAAATCAACATAAAAACATAAACTCCTAAATACGTGAAAAATAGTAACAAAATTTGTTTTTACAATTTTGGGGATTTTGGGTTGTTAGGATTTTGTGAGGGAGTGAAGAGTTTTCAAATAAAATAAAAAATAAAAAGCTATTTTCTACAACCATTATAATTAAAACTGATATAGAATGTTTTTTTTTATTTATTACAAAAATGTCATTGTGTCCACTTTCTATATCGGTTATAATTATTATAAAAAAAAATTATTTATTACAAAAATGGCATGTGTTACTAGATCCTTCATGTAAAATTTTATTATTTATTATAAAAATGTCATTGCACCCATATTTTATATATGTTATAAATACAATCGGTATAAAAGTGTTACCATATTTATAGTTATGCCACCATGCTATTTTTTATAATGATGGATTATAATTGGTATAAATAGTTGTTATAAAAAATAATTTTTTGTCATATGTAATTGATAAGCTTCACTTATTGTATTCTACATAAGAAATGCTAAGCTTCACTTATAGTATACTACATAGAAGTATTTTTCGTTCTTCTTAAAGATTTAAAGGTATAATGATAAAATCATAAAATTTATAGAGGAAATAATAATGAAAAACACCCAATTTTTCGTTCTTCCCAAAAATTTAAAGGTATAATGATAAGAGTCATAAAAGTTACAGAGGAAATAATAATGGAAAACAACTAATTTGGTAAATGAGTAACAATTAGAAGTGAGAAAATGAGATAGCAAAATTTTGACAACTCCTTCTCACATGTGCATATGGCAAAGTGGTCTTCTTGATTTGTTAGAATTTTTTTTGTAGTTAAATTATAATAAAAAATAATTTAAACGATTAAAATTTGGTGTTATCTTATTTGAAAGATATAAATATGCAACAAAAATTATAATGTAGATTAAAAATACTTAGATATTAAGTTTTAATTGTTGATTTTAATCAAGTAATTTCACATGTAAAGTTAATAATTTTTTTAATTAAATAAATTTGAAACATTAATTAAAAAACATAAAAAATTATATGGTTCAAATTTGTTATCATTTAAAGTTTTAATTTATTTTTTCAAAAAATTATGATAGTTGAATTCATCCCTAGGGAAAACAAAATAAGTATAATTCACAAGACAACAATAAAATAAAAACGAAAACAAAATTTGTACAATAAATTTTAAATTTGTTCACTCTGTCTTAGAGTTACATCCGGTTGCTAAGACAAGCTAATAGTGTAACAATGTATATTTATAAACATGCATATAATACAACCAATGCAAGAAATAAGCTTTTTAGACAATGTACATCCTCGTCCCGATCTCCATCTATACCCATATCGAGTCAATGTAGATATTTCTAGTAAAAACGAGAATGGGTTTAGAGAATGAATTTATTTTTCATCCATATTTCTAATTCAATAACAAAAAATTAAATTACTAATTTAATCATTAATTTTTATTATAAAGTTTCCCTAACAATCATTTTTATTGATGAAGTTGGTAGTATATTTGGATAGAGGATTAGAGTAGGAGAGTATTAGACCATTGGAAAGATAAAAGAAGAGTTCATGACAAGCTGGGTTGGGCTATTAACTTTTGCTAATGAATGCATTTGCTTTGTTACTATGATGAGCAAATGTGTGATCATAATAAGAAAATAAGAAAATTGATATAACATGTGGTCATTTAATCTATTTCCTTTGTAGGAGTTTGTTTTTTTTCTTATGTAGCAAGCACTATTTTATTGCTCCCTTAGAAGGCAGATCTTTGTGTAGCTTTTTCTCAACTCTTTAATCTTCACTTTCTTCCTCTTTGGCCTTTAAGTTGTTCAAAAAATTGATCTTGTCATATGTCTTTTAATGATAAAGTAAAATTAAACGTTGTTTTTAACCATGCAATATAAGTAAAATTTAATTATGATAGATATCTAGCACTACATTGTCATGTAATCCATTTCTAAGAATTGAAATTGTAACTTGTTCAAATAACTAAAGGTATAATATAATACTAAAAATCTCACAGAAATGGAAGAAGAAAACTCTTTTATATCATGTATATTATCTTTCTCCATATACATGAACTTACAAATATCTGACTAAACACGTGGCTTAAGTTTTTCATTCGAAGGATCCATAATGAATGAGTTAAAGCAGTGGAATGATTTTTGATATCCTTAAGTAGGCTACCCTCACAACCCTTTCGATCTTCAACAATAATTTCATTTCTTCCCTTACACTACTTCACACCTTTAATCCAGATTTCCTCTGCCAAAAATTAACAAAATAATTAATTTCACCAAAAGTAAAGACAGCAAAACATAATGAAAAGAAAAGAGAAATCCAATGATTAGAAAATATTAAGATTTAGATTGCAGATCTTTCCTTTAATTACAACTCATGAAAAAAAATGTATTTATAGAAATGATTATATCTATCATCCATGGCACAAACATTGCAATGTTTAAAAGTACAAAAGAGAATGACAGAACAATTTTTAGACATGATCGAAAGAGACTAAAAAATTAAGTTTGTAACATAAGGTTAAAATATATTACCTGATATGTTGTGTGTAATCTCTTCAAAACTTTCACTACTGTTATGACATAGAGGCTGTCTGATAAATTACTTAAGAATTGGAAATATGCATGACGCCAAGAACGTATTATTAAGATTGAGCCAAACACTCCCCAAAAGCTTATAACAAATCCAATTGTCATACTTATATAATATTCACGATTGAAAATCAAATTATCATCCTCTTGAAATTTACCAATCGGTTCTTCTCTTGCCACTCCATCAATACACCATTTCTTTAATGGTGGTCCACAGAGATCAACATTATCTTCATATTTCGATGCATCGAAACTCTGTAATTGTGTGCGAGTTGGAATTTTTCCAGATAAGTAATTATGTGACACATCTAACACAGTGAGTCGATCAATTTGAGCAAGACTGGAAGGAATAGAACCAACAAGTTGGTTTCGTGACAAATCAAGAAATTCAAGTGATGTTAACTCTCCAACATTTAAAGGAATTTTCCCTGTCAATTGGTTTCTTGATAAATTCAATGACACCAATCCAAATAAACCCTCTATTTCTTTTGGAATTTCTCCTGATAATTCATTGTCTGAGAGATCAACGCTTTTTAAAAGTGATAATCCTATGTTTGTGAACATTAGCTCAGAACCTTTCCACATAAAAAATGTATTCAAATTGTATGAATAGTTACTTGTCATGTATCTCGTGTGGACCAAATATTGATGACTTTGATAATCTCTCAGCGAAGTCATTTGAGCCATTGAAGAAAAGTTTTTTATGCATTTAGGAATTTGTCCAGCTAAATTGTTTAGCGAGAGATCTAAGAGTTGAATTCTTTTGAGATAACAAATTTGCAATGGTAAACTTCCCCATAAATAATTGCTTCTTAAGCTTAAAAATTGCAACTTTGATAATTCATTCCCGATCCAATCTGGGATAGATCCTGATAATATATTTCCTGCTATGTCTACCATCACTAAATTTGTGCAATTCTTTAAGATGGAAGGAATCATACCTGTTAAGTTATTGTTTCTCAATAACAATACTTGAAGTTGAAGGAGTGATCCCATTGAAGTAGGAATTGTTTTAGAAAATTTGTTCTGACTCATATTTAAGTAAGCCAATGACTTGAAATGGGTCCAACAGTCCGGAATTTGTCCAGAAAACTCATTATTTGAAAGGTCTAATTGGTATAAATTATCAACTGCACCACTAGACCATAAAAACCAAGAAGAATTTGTAAATTTATTGTTTGATAGATCAAGAAATATTGAGCCTTGTAAAAATGATGGAACATGACCTTCAAATTGATTTGATGCAAGACTAAGAGAATCATAATGATTTTCTATTGGCAAATTTGGAATCGTACCTTGTAAATTATTAAACGAAATATCAATACTCATCCAATTGGACAATCCAAATTTGGTCCAAAACCATTTTGGAACCGTACCTGATATTCCACTATTTGAAATGTCAAGGTATTGAAATTTGTTTTGTTTCTCTAGCCATTTGGGAAACAAAGGACCAAGCTTGCAAGACCTCAATTCAATATTATCCAATTGAAAAGTTGAACCCCAATTTTGATTAACTTCTAACGTGAGTGAGTTATCTGACAACATCAATGTCTTTAACTTTGTCATATTATAGAAATGGGAGTCAGATAACACACCTTTCAAAGAGTTTGACATCAAGGATAATTCCTCAAGTTGTGTTGGAAATCGAAGATCTTCAGAAATTGTCCCATTTAGCATGTTATTATCAAGGTACAGTCTTTTTAATGATGGGAACAATTTGAGGGTGTTAGGCAAAGTACCGCTAATTTGATTCGTGCTCAGATTCAACGTTTCCAACTTTAAAATTGAGAAATCAGGTATCTTCCCCTTCAATTGATTGCTAGAAAGATCCAATATCTTTAAAGATGAGAACACTGAAAGGTCAGGTAAGGAGCCTTGGATTTGATTGGATGCCAAACTAAATTCTTGTAATGAGTATCTAACACAACCACTGGAGAAATTATAAAGAATTAACGAAAGGTCTTCGGTCATATTGTTTCTAGACATGTGTAAAGAACGAAGACTGCATATATTCATGAATAATTTCATATCTTCGCCCTTGAACACATTTTGGGAGACGTCAAGGTGCTCAAGCGAATTCATGGCCAAGCCTTACAAATAATTAATGAATTGGAAGTTAATATTTGAAAACAAATTTAAGAAAGTGCTCGGAAAATGCACTTCAAAATGCAATTGTGTCGAACAAATTGTATTATTTGCAATATAGGTGAGACGTCTATATAGACGTCAGACCTATATAGATCAGACATCTATATAGACGTCCGATCCATACAGGTCAGACATCTATATAGACGTCCGATCCATACAGGTCAGACCTCTCTAAGGTTGTTCTTGACTCATGGTGATTCAAGTTTACAAATTTATATTTTAGTTGAAGAGAATGTATTGTACATTTTTTATTGGATGGTTTTAAAAACGTAGTGGAGAGAATTGGAGGAGTACAAAACGCAAGAAATCGCCGCCATAGAACGCCGCCCAAGGACACGAGAATAACTGCACAAAAACCGAACGAAAACACATTTTAATTGATTCAAATGAAAGATAATGCGTCAAAGAGTGATGTAATGAGAGTAAAATTAATTTAAAACGATGCAAAAGTGAGAAAATGAACCTGAAAAACGTAACCCGTAGAGAGAAAACGACGAAGATAATGAACAATGAGTGCGCATAAAGGTTGTCTCGCGTTCTCGGTGTTTTAATGCCGAAATTTAGACGTCGGTTCCCCCAATAACAAAATCTAAAGACATGTTAGAAGTTGGAGTCGCGAGATCAGGCGTCTAAATGGAGTCAAAAAGTGAATTTTATAATTTCTAGGTTTAGGGTTAAGACGTCGATTCCCCCAACTAACAAACGTCTAAACTGCTTTAGAAGTCGGAGTGGTAGGATCAGACATTTAAATGTAGTCAAAAAGTGACTTTTTAAATTTTTGTGTTTAGGGTTTAGACGTTGGTTCCCCCAATTAACAGACATCTAAAGTACTTTAGAAGTCAGAGTGGCGGGATCAGACGTCTAAATGGAGTCAAAAAGTAACTTTTTAAATTTCTGTGTTTAGGGTTTAGATGTCGGTTCCCCCAATTAACAGACGTCTAAAGTGCTATAGAAGTCGGAGTGGCGGGATCGGACGTCTAAATGGAGTCAAAAAGTGACTTTTTAAATTTTTGGGTTTAGGGTTTAGATGTCGGTTCCCCAATTAACAGACATCCAAAGTGCTTTAGAAGTCAGAGTAACGAGATTAGATGTCTAAATGGAGTCAAAAAGTGACTTTTTAAATTTTTAGGTTTAGGGTTTGGATGTCGGTTCTCCCAATTAACAGACGTCTAAGTAGAATAAAAATTATTTTTTATTAACTTTTTCGTTTAGTTTTGGTGTCTATTCGAGGGAGCCGACGTATATGAGTATTTAGACGTTGGGCCCCTCCATAGCCAACGTCTATATAGTTGTTTTATTTACGAAAAATGTCACCAATCATTTTTTACGTTGGATATTTGAGGGTCAGGCGTCTAAAGAGTNTCAAAAAATTATGATAGTTGAATTCATCCCTAGGGAAAACAAAATAAGTATAATTCACAAGACAACAATAAAATAAAAACGAAAACAAAATTTGTACAATAAATTTTAAATTTGTTCACTCTGTCTTAGAGTTACATCCGGTTGCTAAGACAAGCTAATAGTGTAACAATGTATATTTATAAACATGCATATAATACAACCAATGCAAGAAATAAGCTTTTTAGACAATGTACATCCTCGTCCCGATCTCCATCTATACCCATATCGAGTCAATGTAGATATTTCTAGTAAAAACGAGAATGGGTTTAGAGAATGAATTTATTTTTCATCCATATTTCTAATTCAATAACAAAAAATTAAATTACTAATTTAATCATTAATTTTTATTATAAAGTTTCCCTAACAATCATTTTTATTGATGAAGTTGGTAGTATATTTGGATAGAGGATTAGAGTAGGAGAGTATTAGACCATTGGAAAGATAAAAGAAGAGTTCATGACAAGCTGGGTTGGGCTATTAACTTTTGCTAATGAATGCATTTGCTTTGTTACTATGATGAGCAAATGTGTGATCATAATAAGAAAATAAGAAAATTGATATAACATGTGGTCATTTAATCTATTTCCTTTGTAGGAGTTTGTTTTTTTTCTTATGTAGCAAGCACTATTTTATTGCTCCCTTAGAAGGCAGATCTTTGTGTAGCTTTTTCTCAACTCTTTAATCTTCACTTTCTTCCTCTTTGGCCTTTAAGTTGTTCAAAAAATTGATCTTGTCATATGTCTTTTAATGATAAAGTAAAATTAAACGTTGTTTTTAACCATGCAATATAAGTAAAATTTAATTATGATAGATATCTAGCACTACATTGTCATGTAATCCATTTCTAAGAATTGAAATTGTAACTTGTTCAAATAACTAAAGGTATAATATAATACTAAAAATCTCACAGAAATGGAAGAAGAAAACTCTTTTATATCATGTATATTATCTTTCTCCATATACATGAACTTACAAATATCTGACTAAACACGTGGCTTAAGTTTTTCATTCGAAGGATCCATAATGAATGAGTTAAAGCAGTGGAATGATTTTTGATATCCTTAAGTAGGCTACCCTCACAACCCTTTCGATCTTCAACAATAATTTCATTTCTTCCCTTACACTACTTCACACCTTTAATCCAGATTTCCTCTGCCAAAAATTAACAAAATAATTAATTTCACCAAAAGTAAAGACAGCAAAACATAATGAAAAGAAAAGAGAAATCCAATGATTAGAAAATATTAAGATTTAGATTGCAGATCTTTCCTTTAATTACAACTCATGAAAAAAAATGTATTTATAGAAATGATTATATCTATCATCCATGGCACAAACATTGCAATGTTTAAAAGTACAAAAGAGAATGACAGAACAATTTTTAGACATGATCGAAAGAGACTAAAAAATTA